TCGTGTATGTTCTATTAAGAACAGCTTTGTGACACTGTTGTTTTCACAAGAATGTGTAAAGGTTAGTGAAATCTTGCTTCAGAGAATCTGTGGCTTGTGGAGGGAAATTTCACTAAAATCGCTGCAGAGTAACAACACGGATTTTCATGGTCTTATTCTTGTAGATTCGATAGCGTCATGTTTTGGTGTTTCCTGATGATCAGTTGCTTTTTCTCGATGTTTCAAAGAGGTAAGTTTGCAAAAATATTCTTATAATTATCACACTTTTGCGGAATCGTCACAGTAAATATTCGTGTTGAAAACAAGCCAGCGATCTTTTCTATTCTCAATATTTCTGTTTTAAATCCGTAAACACAACAAAGCTATGATTACAGCCTGTATTGCGCTTGTATCAATCATGAACGATCCACTCCACTCTTCGCAATCCGGGCTCGATTTTAATTGGCGAAGATGTTTTGGTGCAGAATCGCAGCGATCTCCATCGCAATTTACACAGCAGCATTCGGCAACAACTGTCGTCCAACTGAGGACCATTTATTTCGATGTAAGATTTTTCAACTGGATATTATCGTCGTTGTAATCTAAATATGTTCTTTCGTCGCCCGTCACTGAAGAAGATGGAAGCTCTTTACATGATTGATTCATATAACCCCTGATTTGTTGCAAAATCTTTGCAGGCCTGAGATCGCTTGTAAATAACTCGAACGTTTGTAACATTCAGTGCCTGCTGAGTTAAATGGCGTCACCATCCGAACTCTTCCCTGTCCCGTAACTATAGTCACCTAAACACAGCTGAGTAATTAAAACACACGTTTTCTGTTTTCAACACGTGAAAGTCGGAGCTTTCCGTAATCAGTCCAAGCAGTTATCAAAGCGATAACATGCGACTTTGTTGACGACCAGTTTCAAACGATCGCGTTTATAACCAATCGCTCACTGATAAACAATGAAGTTAACCTTGTTTCTTTTCCTTCTTCTTCAAGGCTTGGCTCAGGGAAGTTCATCGAATACTGACCCGGGTGGTGGGAAAACGCCACCGTTAGACATCGTGGTAAAGCTTGGATCGGACGCAATTTTACCGTGCGATGCTGTAGACGCAGATCACTCGCCCGATCTCTTAGAGTGGCGAAAGAACGGATCGAAAAGTCCCGTTTTTATGAAGTTCATGAACTTCAAACCTCACATTGATTCGCGCTATTCTCGCCGCGTTCATATGATCAAAAGTTCCGCAATTTTACTTTCGGGTGCAAAGGATACTGATGCGGGAATATACCGATGTAGAACGATGCAATCTGGATCTGAAAGTACGATCGTAACTCATGGAAGATGGGTCGTTCTCAAAGTCATCGGTAAGTTGACCCATTTGTATTGTACAGGAGTAAAGTAACATGTATGGTGTCTTTGAGACGGGGATGGACATTAGCGAATATCATGTTTTATATGTAGCAAATTTATTGCATGGACCGATAACAGGTGCTTCGTATTGTTCATCCAGTTGTAATGATACCTTATGATGTGGTACCTTTATTAATCAGAAATTTTGGACACCAAGATTTAGTTCAACTGTCGACAGAAATGTCAAGGAGCGTAGCTTGTGCTTTCTCAGACATGAAGATATTTCTCGGTAGATCTGAAACCTAATCAGTAAAAAATTCTGCGTGACATGCATAAGACTGTAGCCCGCTGAGTGAGTCGTGCCTCGCATAGAGGGGTAAAGCTTTTAAACTATTGTGTGGTTTCTTGTTCCGCCATTGTTTTGATTCTATTTCTATCGGTCACATTATAAATTCCTCACTGGGGACTCTTAATTGATAAACGGCTTACTTCGACTCGGAAAGTTTCTTCTTCTACAACTTTTCTAGAAATACTTCTTTGAACCTTCCTTCATGCATTTACAATTTATCGAACCTTCTCACGACAGAGTTCCGCCAGTTACAGTGATTTCACAAAGTTTCCTTGAAAACTGCTCGGTTAATATAATTATTCATTGTGGTTAAAATTCCTGAGTCTTAAAAAAACTTTTGTTCATGTTGTGTTCCCACTCAAAGTAAAATGTTATTTCTACTCAAGTAATTAAATTGTCATCGTTATTGAAGTGGCATAAGATACCAGTGACACAGGTTTTGTAGTTAAAAACTCAAAGTTTCAATTCAGTATGGAGAAAAAGCCAATTTTCTACCATATCCTGTTAGAAGGAACTCAAATCTTGTCTTCTGAGATTAATACGACTTTGAAACTTGACGTTTAAGTGTCGGTTTGAATCTCTTTGTACCAGTGTGTACAATATGGAGTCCTGTGTTTCCATTGTAAAACTTCGAAGTAACAAGACGCTTGAGTAACCAAACGTTTCGACCACCGACTGAACTAGAAAATATCGTTTTATGCAAGTAAACAGGATTTATCTACGGCGCCTCCGGTCCAATCGCTGACGCAGTTTTTGCATCGGTAACCAGTCCAGACGATTTAATCCCAGATTCTTAGCTTGGTGTTTGTGAGTCGCCTTTCTAATCCCTACTGATTGAATGTGCATTGTGATGTTAGAGCGCAGGGGTATTACAATATAAGGACATAATTACTATGTTAGACCGACAAAGCCTTTTAGTTTGGCAAGCAAAGTATTGAGAGTTTGAAAGAAATAACGAGAATTAAATTTCATATCCGCCCTGCAGGTGCCTCAAGACAACTTTAAGGCGAGTCGTTTCACATCGGATTAAATCATTCACGACTTAAATTAAAGGGAAGCATTATGAACTCCCATTTGTTCAGACTTTCTCGCCTACTTTGTGTTGAAAAGAAGGCGGCAAAAAAAAAAAAAAAAAAAAAAAAAAAAGACGAACCGCAAGCGTTTGAGTCGGTGTTATTTTGGAAGAACTTTGCAACTTTCGCAAGTTTCTTTTCAGGGTGAAAATTCGCGTGCTGTTTTAAGTGAAGTTTGATTTCTGAAAGTTAAGAACAGCTCAAAATACTTTCCAGCTAGTTTTACTTGAAAGTATTTGAAAAAAGTTGCAATAACACTAAACTGCAAACATTTTCCGTCACCTTTCTTTGAACTGTACAATTTCAGTTTGATAACTAACGTTATTTGCAGCCAACTTAATTGAAGTTCAATTGATGTGAGAAGTGAAGAACAGTGGGTGATGGGACCAAACTATAACTGGATTTATTTGTCGCAAAAAAATTCCTTTCGACCGCAAGAAACAGACCGGTTACCAATCTACCGCCCTGCTTTATAAAAGAAAAACTTTCCCGCTCAAGCAAACAGTGCGTGCAATTTAATATCCTCTGTTTGTGAAGGTTTTACCAATTATTGACTCAACTACCGACATTTTTGACAGTAAGTCTTTGCTTGTCACGTCCGATGTTTTCGTTTCGCTCAACAAGAAGTTACGTTGTGCTTTTGGAATTCATATTAGCTCAATTAACTTTTCTCTCTTTCGTGGATTGTTGGTGAATGATTTTCTCTTTGTTGCATTTACCTTTGTGCAGATATGAACACGATCGACATTCAAAGCATATTACTCGAATCTTTGTTCGTAAAAGCATTAACTTAGACTCAGGAAATGCAAGAGTTCATTTTCAAGATCTAATAACGTTTTTGTTTGTTCAAATAAAAAAACAAACCGACTGACGTTTATTTCAAAAACATTGTAAGCCCCCTTGAAATTGCCATAGCGACAAAACGTGCTTGTGTGATTAAGGTGCGATGAGCTGTCAGCTTGGGAGAGAGAATTCACGGGTGGTCTGTTGTTCTACCCTTTGAAAAGCAAGTCTTTTGAAAAACTGTCAGGTTAAAAATAATTTGGTCGATATATGAACACGCAAGGGAAAATACAAGATTCACGACACGTTTGCACTACAGAGAAGTTCAGGCCAAATGGACCCAACTGATCGGGAAATTTGATTCATCCTAAGATGTCCTGATTTGAATTATTGAATCTTTCTTTAAAGCCAGGAACAAACAGAAGAAACGAACGTAGCCGACGCTGTGTAGGAAACTAATAGCATTGGAGGACTTGTCTTCTGTACGAGTTGATGTGGCTTGGAGATTAACTTCACCTTCTGTAAAAGCTAAAATCTTTCTCGTCTGTTAAGTTTGTAAAACCAAATCTCGTTTTTTGATTTATTCCGAGGCGGCAGCTTGTTACTTTGTAAACGTCCGTCTAAGGCAAATAATCCCCATGCCAAGATAAATAGACTTGTTTAGCTCGTCAATTAGTTTACAATGAAAAAGCAAACAGTTATAGGGATGCTGAAAGTTAACCGTAGTTTCGGCATCACACAAATGCATTAAATCTGACGCTGACTAAATATACAACAACAACAAAGCTGACGTCAAACTCTGCAAGGCACCCGGGTTTCAACTCTATACATATTACATGACCCGCTCTCCTATGTGGACTAATATTATAATATTATTATTGTGGATTAATATTAATATTATTAAACATTTTAATCCCTCATACAGCGTGTGATCAGTAACTTTCATTAACTCGATGATTGTCACTTAAATTTTTCGACGTAAGGGTTTTAAATTTTGTTGATGTTATTTTCCCTATTTTTCCTAAATTTAAAAGCCCTTTACTTACTTACCCCATAACCTTATTATAACGGAGACATAATCATATACTTAAGCTGTTAATTAACTTCTTCCTTTAATTCTGATTTTAACTGTTAACATTTCGGTTTTTCTCTTTTTCACGGTCTATAGTAGCCCCTTTGTCGTTCCCTCCCTTCTTCTTAAAGAAACCGCTGGACAAAATAATTGCTAACGAGAGCAATTCTTTGACTCTGCTCTGCTTGGTTGGGGGTACTCCAGAACCGGAAGTGGAGTGGTTCAAACACGGGGCTCCAATACCATTCGAACGCGCCTCTGTCTCTCCAGGAAGTCGGCTCACAATAACAACTGTTGTGCCTGATGACAGCGGTCGATACCAGTGCTCCTCGGTTAATTCTGTTGGGCAACTTCATCACGTGTTTGAAGTTACCATTAAGCGTAAGAACCGATTTTTTTGTCGTCTTCATATTCATCACAGCACTGTGTATACCTATGCCACCATAGCTTGAACACCGCCGCGAAACATACCTTCCTTCTAAGTTTTGTTTATGTTGCATGCAACACCTTTTAGCAGTTCAAACTCTCCATATTGCTGAAAAGGGTATCTCAATTTATGAGTATATTTCTCAGAAGTACTTGACTTTTTTTTTCCAGTTCTTTCTACCTATCTTTAACCAAAGCAATGAAAAGAAATAGAAACAAACTTTGAAAGCGCTCTCAATTTGCTGACCTACGGTACTCTTTCCTGCAGTTTGGATTGTTCTGTTTGTCTGCACCTTTTGCCTAACGCGTATTGCACAATTCTTTCGAGCCCATGTTGCGTTTTGATGTTGTTCTAGTTTTATTATTTGTGGTTTTTAAATTAACTCAATTAAATATATGCCCCCAACTTAACTTAAGCACAAATCATTTCTTAGTAGCAAAAGTGATGTGCTCAAGCCGGGAATCTGAGAAGTTGTTTTATATCTCTTCAACGTGTTGAACCGACGAACTTCGGAAGATATTGAAATGTATTTGAAGAACGCGAAGAGGTTTTGTTGTATCGAAATTATCAAAGCTGTATAATATTCAAGGATTTTGAAACAGATTTGTAAAATGTGAAGATGTTTTTAGTTGGCACAGAAACTGTTTTCCATCGGCTAGCAACTAACGGGAAATTTTTTTGCTTCCCTCGAGAGATCTACTCTGTTTCATCCGGTGTCTTGGTTACATTTCGGTCAATTTTGATCTAAAAAAAGCACTCTTAATCTTTTGGAATTTTGACCACAGTAGATTGTGGTAATCCACACCATTGCTTTGTCACTCTCAAGTCTCGATTTAATCCGTCTTGAAGAGAAGGGTCCTTTTAAAAACTTATGATCTTCCTTCCTATCTTCGTTCCAGTTTATTCCGGTTTGTGTGGGTTTGATCACGTCTTCTCGCGTGCGAACGAATTTACAGTGACAGAAAAAAGATTCAATCGCCAAGCTGATGATTAAACGTATCATTGACGTGAGGTTCACATGAATGTCGCGTTTAAAAATATGAATTTTAATATTGGCAAATTTTGGTGAGTGTTAACGATCCAAACAGCTTTTGATTATTTTTTTCTTGTTAATATTAGGAACCCAAATTAAGTGTTGATAATTTAGTGCTGGGGTTCCGTAAATTGAAAAACAAAAAACGTTCGGGCAAAACGGTAAAGGAAAGAACCTTACCACAGAGTTTGACACGAACTATCTTAAATTTGAAAGAATCTTGTTCCTATCTTTGTCCATACTTCATGCCTTCGTTCACTTTGATATTGAGTTTTTGCATGGCAAAATTCCATACTTCCCAGGGGCCCTCTTTCGAATTCCTAACAATCTCGGTGATATTTTATGTCTTTTTCTATCATTTCGTTTTGGCTCCATTGCAATATGTTTTATGTTTTTAAACAAAATATTAGACTTGGGTTAGCAACACGTTCCTTTGTGGTGGTGAGTCACTATTTTATTCGCTCACCCTCTTCCGGCGTTTCTTTACATAGAGCTGAGCGGAAATGCTTCAGATCCTTCAAAAGATAACCCAACTTTTGTACTCAGGGCTTCCTAGAGAGATTTTAGCAAAGAAATTTGAAAACGATACTCTGAATAGCACTTTTACAGACTAAGTATCCTAGATGTGATCCTTGCTGCGATTAATATCATTAACGAGCGAGTTACCATTGGTTCGTCGAAAGGCTTAAAGTGCAGATTTTATAGAAAGTTGTTGACATTTCTCTGATCAGACAAAGGGAATTTTTCGTGCAATGCAACTCGATACACCTGAGCAACGTGAGTTGTTTTACACGCAAAGCTAATAGGACAGTAATGCTCTAGACAATCCCGATGGGTTCTTCTGCTGCATGGCCGGCCTTAAAGCAAAAAGAACAGACTGAATTTGGGATGCTGAGTATTGTGTTGATAGTAGCGATCTGTAGCTCAGCAGTGTCAACTCAAGGTATGATAATAATGCCAGTTTATTGATCAACTCAGTAGCTTACTTGATCCCAGAATTAAGTTGCGTTGGTCAAGAGGTTGCATGAGTTTTTGCGACGGAGGAGCGGAAGATTATCTTCATATGGACCGATCAGAAGATATTTGAACATCATTGTGCGGTGAAATAGTAGGCTTCATTCTCTACCCTACGAGACAAGAGTCTGAATGAATACTATATCTTTGGCAACACACCAAATAATCCTTAAGTGTTGTTGTCTACATGCTGATTGCAAGCTCATATGTAACATTGCTCTCTCGTCTGTCGTATTCAGCTCTAATTCTGCTATTTCTGAACGAATCAGTCTTGGAGTAGCAGAGTGTCTGGCAGTTTCATCAGTATTTGATATTACCTATTTATACAAGTTCATGAATGAAACGTACTCTTTTAAATAACTTTAAAAGTTGATGAGAGGTCGCGTGCAGGAGATTTTAATCTCCGTTTGATACAGTTTCGTGCTACTGATATCAGAAAGAGTCGTCGTGGGCATTTTTGCCAAACTTTCCTTTATTTATCGCGAAGGGTGTTGGTCAGGTGAATGAAAGTGAGCTTAGCAGAACTTTCTAAAACTTTGTGTTAAAAAGTTCCCACAAGTTTTTTGATTCATCGTTTTATCCAAGACGATGTGTGTCCTATTTTTGGCAAGTAACTTTAAACCACGAATCATTTCATTACTTCCATCATTCACGAAAGCTAATTAAACACAGTCTGTACTTTTGTTTCCCGCTAACCTGAAGTAACTTGATCCATACTCTTACATTTTTTATTCGCGCTTTTTCATTCAAACATGAATTGGTTGCTGACACAACATCCCAAGGATGTCTTCACCAGCACACTTAAAAACATCCCGTTGTGAGATAAAACACAATTTGATCATACTTTGCGTAAACTCACTTCCTTACCCTGTTTATGTTTCAGGTACAGTTGGTTTACCATCTCGTCGTAAAACGGTGGTTGAAAAATATCCAGCGGTCCTCGACTGTCTCACTGATACAAACCTACCGAGTGAAAACGTAATTTACAGTTGGACTAAAGATGGCGCGGATGCTGCATCAGACACTCGGGCCACAGTCATTGCTTCCGGTGCCTTGTTTATTAAATCAACCCGCAGAACTGACTCCGGTGTGTACCAGTGCACTGCAAAGACATTTGACTCCAGTGGCCTGGTTACCTACCCTGGGGCAAAAATACTGTTGGATGTTCAATGTAAGCAACGGGTGAAATTACTTTTTTTCAAGCAATTTGCCTGCTTGAATTGTTTTCTTTTCAAGCACGGCAGGGTTTGCTTGTTGATTTGATGCAGTTAACTTTCGATCATATCCCATTTATCTCAGATGCTCCTACGATTGTGGAGACGCAGGACACCGTGGCAATACCCGAGGGCTCTGATGCCCGGTTGCCATGTATCTCCGTCGGAAACCCGAGTACTTCTTTTACAAACTGGACGCGACACAGTGAAGACGTTCGAGCACGTCCAAGGTTTGCTGTGTTGGAAAAGGGTTCGTTACTTATACAGGATGTTCGACGCACAGACGCGGGGGAATATGCTTGTACTCCTTATAACAAAGTGGGGCCAGGAGAAACAAAAATAACAAGACTTGTCCTAAAAGGTAAGAATCTCTGCAAATCGGTTGGACAACAAAGCTGTTTTCTCCCAGAATCTGATTGGTTCTTCTGTCTCTATTTTATTGCAGTTGTTCCAAAGTTCATCGTTGCACCCCCAAGTATCATGACTCTCAGAGTGGATGATGACGTCACACTGGTCTGTGAAGCTACTTCAGATTCTACTCCCACGTTGAAATGGGAACGCGAAGGAGAACCTTTCCCAGAAGGCCGTTCGGTCAGGCAGGGTGGCAAGTTAGAGATAAAAGGCATCCAGAAAGATGATTATGGAGTATACACGTGTGTTGCTACATCAGCTGATGGACAAGCCACGCATTCTACAACTATAGCGGTCATTTGTAAGTCGCATTCTGTAATTTTTTTTAAATTTGGTGTAAATATACGACTAAATCGAGTTAACTGTGTTATTTTAAAGCCACTCCCAGCAAACCAACGATAATAAGTGTTCATTTCAACGACGCGACGGCAGTGGTGAGATGGCGGCCTGGGTACGATGGAGGGTATCCCCAACAGCTGGAAGTGTGGTACCGACTTACCACTGATAATGACTATGAATGGCTCAAGTCACCTCATTTGCCAGCTAGCGAGACGTCATATCAGATTCCAGACCTCCAACCGGAGGACCTTTATTTATTTAGCATCAGAGGAATCAACCGAGAAGGAGCTGGGCACTTCAGTGACATTGTAGAGGTGAAAGGCCTTCCTCCAGACATAAACCGATCGCCCGATAAACCAGGTAACTGACCTTTTGTTTCCCTGCTAGTGACCTTGTGATTTACAGATTACCCGACAAATTTTCTCTTTATTGTATTTTGTGTTAATTTGATGATAACAACTGCGCGACAATCTAAGAAGATTGTTCACTTCTTTTGTTCAACAGGGAAACCTTTAGCTCCTCAGAATGTTGTAGTTAACATCACTAAGGATGGCTATTGGGTCACGTGGTCTCACTCAGCTGTGCCTGGTCGGCCGATTGTGGAGAAGTTTGTTGTGGAGTTCAGTGAAGGAAATGGATCATCCCCTTGGCGCATGGCGGACGCTGCTGTCCCAGCGGATCGTAAGAAGTACCTCTTTAGCGCTGACAAAGTAGAAGCTGAAAAGACGTACGAGTTTCGGGTTTTTGCATTTGGTGCGAATGAGTTTAGTGAGGCAGCTTATGTGTCCAAGACATATAAACTCGGTGAGTTCTTAATCATTATTCTCTCGTTCATAAAATTACTTCGAGAATGGCGAGGTAGTGCTCTCAGGCTAAAGAGAATTTGAAAGTAACAATTTCCTTCTTCGGTGGTGTGTAAGGCCTGGTTACCGAGTTAAGCTTTTCGATTCCATTGGTGCTAATAGAGCGACGACGCCTTTTGGATGGGTCTGGATCAGGATCAGTGATTTTTTTTCCTTTTTTCAGTTTTTTTCTTTTCTGAAATGTCTTCATGTGATGTTTTAGGTTCTCCAGTCATCGACCAGCCTTCCAGTGACGATGACGTTGTTCCTATCATAGCTGGTGTCCTTGGAGCCATTGTTGGTCTTTTCCTTCTCGGCTTAGTTTGCTTCTGCTTCATTCACAAGAAGAAATCCAGAAAACACCGTAAGTTGAATTATGAAGTCCTCCTTATTAAAGGGTGCAAGCCAAAGCACTCCTACACCTTGTTCCTCATCTCACCCATCTCCTACACCAATGAACTCTCTTCTTCTCGATTTAGCCTTGTGGGGGGGGACTTGGTTTCTGTCAGGCCGCCCGGATTTGCTCCTCCTATTCATATAAGCGTCCAGAAGGCATTGTAGAGGAGCTGCTAATAAGGTGTTTAAACGAATCTTTTTGTCAAAATAGTCAGCTTAGGATTTAGACGTTTATTGTTTCTTTCAGATATCAACAAATCCGGGGACAAGAAAGTTCAATTCATTCTTCCAAACAGGTACGTTTCAAAATATTATTTGTCTACTGCTGTGAATACAAACCTTACGGGAATGCGGCCAAAAAAATTATTAAAGTAATAGATAAATAATGTAAAGACCACGTAACAAATTGTAGTCTCCGATGGTTATTTTTATCCCTGTAGTCACGTGAAGGGATTCCGTACAATGATTGGCTCATCAAGAGCAATTTCATTAACTGTATACATTGACGCTAAAAAAGTTAAACACCGCGTTATCTCCGTTTAGTACTCCTGTATTCGGACTCTAGTACATTATCATTGAATCAGCCAGCACCCGTGTTTTAAAAAGCCCAACAGTTCCTACAGCGCAATCCTCGAGTTATATTGTAACTAATTAATCGCTTTGAATTTTCGTGACAAATTGTGATCAGCATAGTGTGAAGATAAAAATATAATTATTGGAAATCTTATGGGATCTAGTACGGAAGGTACAATATATATGATGTCGAAACACTGAATAGAATTAGTGATAGACTTCCGTGATCGATAACCATTTACAGTTGGGAAAAGAGCCTATTCCTATTTGTTCTTGCAAATGCTACTGTACATCATTCACCTGTAAAATAATGATTATGACTGGTATGTAAATTAGAATCTATACAATCGCTTTCACATCTTACTTGTAATTTATGCCGACTAGAAAGTCATCTGTGTCAAAATTATGACAGGTGTCATTCACTTGATAGCCGTGTTGGTTTTCAAGCTAGGGACATATATGATAAATTTATGAAAACAGAAAGACAAATCAGTCATGCAATAATTATAAAATATGTGAGGAGTTTCTGTTTCGGACTCGATTACTCGTTGAATTGTTAAATTTCCAAAGAGATTCTGAGGTCGTGATGGGAAATTTATTGAGGTAACTTAGTTAAATCGTTATTCGCCCTTTTTTGACTGTCTATTTTTTTCCTCGACATGAATTTTTTGACTTATTAATTGTAAAAGCATTGTAATATAAAGGTTTACGTTCTGTTGGTTGTTCCATTCTGTATCTTTTACTTTTGCATCAGAAAAGAAATTTCTACCCAAGTACTCAATGAGTTTCAGGTGGAATGAACTGATAGCTGGACGCCATGTTTATCGTCAACTCCGGAATTCATCACCGATGGCTTTTTCTGTTTAATGACCCATTAGAATAGAAAAGCGATTACAATTTTGCTTGAAATTTACAAAGTAGAGCTGTTATATTATTTTGGGTGAATGATTTCCAGCAGTGTTATCTGTTGCCTTGCAACAATGCCTGAAATAATCTTGAAAAAACCGACTGAATTTAATCTCCTACCTACTAGTTTGACAGTCGTTTATTTCGCATCAGTAACAAGTTATCTGGAAGTTTGGTTAATAGCTCTTAGGCACAGCCAGTACTATCTTCACAACTGGACCGCACTGGCTCATTTAATTGCATTTAAAGGCTTGATTATTTACCAAATTTACGATCGAACAAAATTCGTTTTCTTTCGTCTCTTATTCATATTTTAAAAAATTTACTCTTTTTCAGTATAAATGCTGAATTATTTTTTACACTGTTTATTTTGGGTTTTGAATAGAGAATCCTTAGTGCAAACAATTTTACGTAGTACGTGTTTCCTGAGGAAAACTCTTACAATTTCAACGGTACGAGAAAGGGAAAATTTGACGACATTTTGCGAATGTTTCACTGGTGACATGATATGTTCTTTGAAATGTTATGAAATTTATATAACGTGTTTGTGTTATTGAAAGGTTTAAGATCTCAGCGATATAGTTAATATTTTATGAAATGTTTTAAGTTTTCTTGACACCCCTCTTTTTTCTTCACAGCACAAGTGAAGCTTTTGAACGCGAAGATTCCGAGGACGACTTCCTCGACGCTGAAATTAAGTTGCGTCCCGAAGCTGTCCGATTTATTCCCGATG